CACATGAAAGAAAAAAGTGAAGCCAGCAGTGAGTTTGCCAAGAAGAAATCGATCCTGGAGCAGAGACAATACCTACCCATTTTTGCTGTACAGCAGGAACTGCTCTCTATCCTCAGGTATGGCTCCAGGGCATCCTCAGGGCATTGGCCTACGTTTGGGAGCTCAGTTGAGGAATTGTAGAATTGTGACCGTTGGGAACCTGTACTCTCAGGAAACAAAACCCATTGCTTTGTGTTTGCTCAGCTCTCCCACTTGAGTAGGATGATGCTTAGAGAGAGAACACAAAAGCCCTTTTTTGAAGGTGTATGAAGAAATACCTTTTCCTTTTCCTCAGAGACAACAGCATTGTGATCGTGGTAGGGGAGACTGGGAGTGGGAAGACAACTCAGCTGACACAGTATCTCCATGAGGATGGCTACACTGATTATGGCATGATTGGCTGCACACAGCCCCGCAGAGTGGCTGCCATGTCGGTGGCCAAGCGTGTCAGTGAGGAGATGGGGGTGCGTCTGGGGGAGGAGGTGAGTCTGGTGGGGGGTGCAGGGGTGCCACCCAACGACAGAGAGTGCGTGGGACTGTTGGAAGACTTGTGGTATCTCCACCCTGCCAGGTAGGCTACGCCATCCGCTTTGAGGACTGCACATCTGAGAGCACAGTGATCAAGTACATGACAGATGGGATCCTGCTCCGTGAGTCGCTGCGGGAGGCTGACCTGGACAACTACAGTGCTATCATCATGGACGAGGCACATGAGCGCTCGCTCAACACTGATGTGCTGTTCGGGCTGCTTCGCGAGGTGTGTGTGAGCCTGGGCTGGAGCACAGCAGCATCGGTGTTCCCTGGCATGCACAGCCAGTGCCTCTGGAGTACAACAGAAGCTCTGTCCTGTGCCATTGTCTCAGTGAGAAAGAAAACAGCCCACAGCCTTGCATAAATGTGCCTTCCATATTGTTCCTTTCATCTGCTTCCTAGGTGGTTGCCCGACGCTCAGATTTGAAGCTTGTTGTTACTTCAGCCACCATGGATGCAGATAAGTTTGCTTCCTTCTTTGGGAACGTTCCCATTTTCCACATTCCTGGACGCACTTTTCCTGTGGATATTCTTTTCAGCAAGGTACGGTTACTTCTGTGATGGAAATGCTGTTGGCAGGAGGGGGTTGTGACCTAGCTGTGCTGTACTCGGAGGGGGACGCACAGGACAGGGGAGGAGTGGCTGTGGTGTGCTACAGTCTTGCACGTAGGACAGGGCAGGTAAGGATATTGTTCCAGATTAACCTGGGCTGTGCTGTTCAGACCCCACAGGAAGATTATGTGGAGGCTGCAGTGAAACAAGCCTTGCAGGTCCACTTGTCTGGTGCTCCTGGAGACATCCTTGTCTTCATGCCTGGCCAGGAGGATATCGAGGTGAGTTGGAAGGACAGGAACTTCCTATCCCCTTGTTTCAGTCTGATGTTTTCAGCCCTCTTTGTGTCTAGGTGACCTCAGAGCAGATTGTGGAGCACCTTGAGGAGCTGGAGAAGGCACCTGCTCTTGCTGTACTGCCAATCTACTCTCAGCTGCCCTCGGACTTGCAGGCCAAGATCTTCCAGAAGGTGCTGATGTGTGCTTTGTGATTAGGGTGGGGACAGGAAAAACTGGAGCAGGAGACAGTACAGAGCGTGAGCGAAAGGTGTAGATATACATTGGTATTGCATGTGGAGGGTGAGAGAAAGCATGTACCCCACCCCACTTCCCAAGAGTCACCCCTGTCCATCTGCCACTCTGCACTCCTCCTCAGTGGAGCAGAGCCATGCCCAGGGGTGTGACTGACGTGCAGTGTGCTTGCAGGCTCCTGATGGGGTCAGGAAGTGCATCGTTGCCACTAACATTGCAGAGACCTCACTGACAGTGGATGGTATCATGTTTGTGATTGACTCTGGCTACTGCAAATTGAAGGTGAGCCAGGGTTTTCTATACTGTCTGTCTCTAGTTTCTGGCATAGGTTGAGGGAGTTCTGAGGTCACAATCCAGCCTTCCTCTTACTTCTGTCTGACTTTCTTGTGCCCTGAAGGTTTTCAACCCCCGAATAGGCATGGATGCACTGCAGATCTACCCCATCAGTCAGGCCAACGCCAACCAGAGGGCCGGCCGAGCTGGCCGGACAGGCCCAGGCCACTGCTTCAGGTAGGCATGTCACTGTTGTTCCTGCTCCTGTTGTATCCTCAGCTTGGCATCAGGTTTTGTATATCTTTTTCTCACTGGAGCTGTTCATTATCTTGAACTTTGAGGGGGGGCAGGTGTGGGCAATAAGCAGGCCTGAAGGCCTTCTTTGGACCCAGTCCTTGTGCAGAGAAAAGGATGTGCTCCACTTCCTTCCTGTGCCCATCTTCACTTGTGGCTGGTCTGCCCTGGATGCCATTGGGATAAGAACCAAGCCAAAGGCCTTTCCCAGGCTATTCTGTGAGACCAGGGAAGGTCTGTGCTTGGTCATGTGCTGTGCTGCAGCCCAAACACCCCAATGTGCTGGGGAGACCCCACTTTGGCTGGACTACTGGTGCCTCCCAGGGTCCTGCTGTTGGGTGCAGGGTTGCTGCCCTGTGCCATGCTGGGCCAGGCTGGGCAGAGGCTGGCAAGTCTGTAAGGAGCATGCTCTTGGCATCTTTTCCCAGGCTCTACACCCAGAGTGCCTACAAGAATGAGCTGCTGACGACCACGGTGCCTGAGATCCAGCGCACCAACCTCGCCAATGTAGTGCTCTTGCTCAAGTCCCTGGGTGTGCAAGACCTGCTGCAGTTCCATTTCATGGATCCACCCCCTGAAGACAATATGCTGAACTCCATGTACCAGCTGTGGATCTTGGGGGCCCTGGATAACACAGGTATTGGCAGCTGGGGTAGGCTGCCAGCCCATGGAGCTGGGGTCTGCCCAGCTGCTGATCAGTGATCCCTGTTCCGTTCCTACAGGTGGTCTGACCTCTACAGGACGCCTCATGGTGGAGTTTCCACTGGATCCTGCACTCTCCAAAATGCTTATTGTCTCCTGTGACATGGGTTGCAGCTCTGAGATCTTGCTTGTAGTCTCCATGTTGTCTGTGCCTGCCATCTTTTACCGGCCTAAGGTATGAGATGCTGCTGTTCCAGCAGCTCAGGGCTCTTCCCTGCCCTGTGACTAACCCATTTTCTTTGCCTACCCTTCAGGGCCGAGAAGAGGAGAGTGACCAAGTGCGGGAGAAATTTGCTGTTCCAGAGAGCGATCACTTGACTTACCTGAATGTTTACCTGCAGTGGAAAAACAACAGCTATTCTACCCTGTGGTGCAATCAGCACTTCATCCATGCCAAGGCCATGCGGAAGGTGAGGCTGTGGCTGTAAGGCTGGGAGAGACAGCCTTGTGCTGAAGAGGGATCTGACCAGCACACACCTTTGCAGGTGCGGGAGGTGCGTGCCCAGCTCAAGGACATCATGGTGCAGCAGCGAATGAGCCTGGCATCCTGTGGTACAGACTGGGATGTGGTCAGGAAGTGCATCTGTGCTGCATATTTCCATCAGGCTGCAAAGCTGAAGGTGAGAGGTGTCTGAGCTGCCTGGGAGCTGCAAGGCCCTGCCTGGGAACAGGTGGACTAAGCACACTTGTCTTTGCAGGGCATTGGGGAGTATGTGAACATCCGCACAGGCATGCCCTGCCACCTGCACCCCACGAGCTCTCTGTTTGGCATGGGCTACACACCAGACTACATTGTGTACCACGAATTGGTTATGACTACCAAGGTGAGCTTGAGCTGAGGGCTAGCGGGAAGGGTGACAAGTGCTCCAGGGGAGATGGGAGGGCTTTGCTGTGAGACTGAGATCTGTCTGAGTGGCAGATATCAGCCTTTTCCATCTATACCAATTAGACATGTTTGTGTCATCTGTTTGTCCCTTCCCCCATTATTTTTCTCTGACTTCTGTGGGATGTGTTTGATCCTCCTTGTGGTCAAATCCAACCTGTAGCAGCTTCTGAGGCCAGGAGGAATTGTCTGGAAGGGGTATGGTCCTAGCCTGAGAAGTGCCATCAGCAACTGAGGGAGGAAGGGAATGGCTATGGCTCTGGGAATAGTGCCCAGGCCCCAAGGATGCCATCCTGCTGTCCTGGTCTTTTTGTCCTTGTAGGAGTACATGCAGTGTGTCACTGCCGTGGATGGTGAGTGGTTGGCAGAGCTGGGCCCTATGTTCTACAGTATCAAACATGCTGGCAAGTCACGCCAGGTAAGTATTCCATCCTGGATGAGCTGGCAAACTGCAGGCCCTCCTGCGTTCTGCTGCTGTATGTATGTGTTTTGACGTGAAGGGAGCAAGCTTGTGGGCCTGCAGGGAGTCTGCTGTCCCTGACCTGCTGCTTCTTGCTCCAGGAGAACCGGCGCCGTGCCAAGGAGGAGGTGTCTGCCATGGAGGAGGAAATGGCTTTGGCAGAGGAGCAGCTGCGTGCCCGCCGGGAGGAGCAGGAGCGCCGTAACCCACTGGGCAGTGCAAGGTATGTGATAGCCCTGCCTGCCCATGGCTTGCCTGTGTGGCGGATCCCAGCTTCCCTGTGGGAGTTCTGTTGCAGGAAAAGGTTGCATTTTCCACTAATTGCCCTTGTCCTCTTTGACAGATCTACTAAAATTTATACCCCTGGGCGAAAGGAGCAGGGGGAGGCCCTGACGCCACGACGCACCCCAGCCCGCTTTGGTCTCTAAGAAGGCACAACCTGTTGCTTTGAGGCTTAAGGTGGTGCCCACCTACTCTAATCAGTGTATTCTGAGGTCTCTACAGCTTGTGGCCCTGGAAGGCTTTGGTGCTTGGCTCTAATTTTATTACAGAACAGAAAGAATTTTATTTGTTTAAAGGTTGTCAGTCTGATCCTTGCTTTGTTTTGCACTGCTTCTTGTCCTGGAAGAGGTAGCTCTGGTAGCTCTACCTCCTGGTGGAGGTAGCTCTGCAGAATCATGCAGGGCTGGTGCTGTCAGGTTGTTGCCCTGTACAACCTGGAACAGGGCACAAAATTCAAGTGACTTGGAGGACAAATACAGCCTGTCCCTGTTTGGAGCCTGGCCCTTACCCCTGCAAAGGCAGTTCTCCCACAGCCCATGCCCTGGACAGGCAGCTGGTGCCCAGCTGTCCCTGCACAGCTGGGACCATTGGCCCAGCCCTGTTTCAGGCCAGGCTGTGCCAGGAATTCTGCTCACTTTTTCAGCTGCTCACACTTGGGCTGCTCAGGTGTTCTGAACATTAGGTATGGGTTCTCCTCCTGCATCCTACCTAGTGTGTCTTGAATGCCTCTTTGTATCCTGCTCCCGCTCTGTCACCTTGCTGAGCTCTTCCCTAAGGAAAGCCAGTTCCACCTTGCAGACAACCAGCTCCTCTTCTCTCAGAGCCAGAGTTTGCTCACTGTCCAGGTGTAGCTGCTGCCAGTGTTGGACTAGGCTGCTCAGCTCCTGCAGCCTCTCCTGGAGGGAGTAGGTCTGCCCATGGCACAGTGAGAGACACAGGCTGAACACAGATTCCTGGTCTTTCACAGGAAGATTTGAGACATCCTTACCTCCTGTTTGCTCTGCTCCTTGAAGGTCTGCATCCTCCTCAGCTCCTGATGAAGCTGGTGCCTCTGTGTCTTGTAGGCTGCAATCTTTTCTGCCTGTTTGGTGCTCTCTTGCCGAGCTTGGGCCAGCTCTGCCTGGAGTTTCTCCATGTCCTGCACCTGCCAGCAAAGCTGTGGGGCAGGTAGGGTGGTTGGCCATGGCTGAGCCTCTCCTGGAGGCAGGAGAGGGGTCTGGGACTGAGGCTGCATCCCTGCCCTCACCTGTTGCTGCAACTCTGCCACTTTTCTCTGTAAGCCTTGGATGGCCTCGTTGGTTCTGCTGAGCTGCTGCAGACCCTGTTGCTCCTGGGCCCAGGTGGCTGCCAGCTGCTCCTGCAGCTGGGCTGGGCTGTACTGCAGGCCTTGACTCTGCTCCTGTGCCCCCTGCTGCAGAGAAGGCAGTGCCTCTGCTGGCCTTGTGCTGTGTGCCCTGCCCTGAGCACAACCACAGCTTCCCTCTGTGAGCTGCAGGGTGCTCAGGGCTGGCCACTGCCTGGCTGTGTGAGATGGTGGGGGCAGGCTGGCATTGTTGCCTCCCACCCTGTCCCAGGGGGAAGGGGAGCAAGGGTCACTGTGGTTGTCAGGGCTCCTGTGCCCCCCTGGCTATGCCCCCCTTGCCCCTAGGCTTGGTGTAGTGGCTGGGGGCTGCTGGCACTGACCTGCTTGAGCAGCTCTCTGCTCTCCTGTGGGGTATCATGGCTGATGTCAAAATAACTGTGGCCCGCCAAGTAGGAGGTGACCTCTGTCTGCACTGCCTGGTCCTTCAGGTGGAGGGGTGCATCACTGACCTGTGAGTACCCAGCAGGGTGTGGGATCACCCTGTGCCCATGTTGTGTAGAGCTTAGGCTGCAGGAGGAGCCTTGTTGGGACAACCCATGGGCAATGCCCTGTTGGGCAGGGCCTGTGGCAGAGGAATGTGGCCTGCACCAGGTGGGAGGCAGGAAGGCTGCTGACTTCTGGCCCTCTGATATCTGTGCAGTCCCCACAGTGCCCTCCCTGTTGTGGCAGTATCTGTTGGACACCCAGCCGTGGAAAGCCATCTCTGTGGTCCCTGACCAGTGGCAGAGCACGGGCACAGGGAGAGTGCTGATCCTAGCTCACTGGCAAGGTTGTGGGCTGCAGTAGTGCCACCAGCCCTGGGACAGTGCCCGGGGTGTCAGTGGGGCTGTTAGGGTCTGCATTCTTCCAGCTCTGCTCAGCTGGGTGGACTGGGCTGTGCCAGCCAGGCTTGCCTTGTGGCTAGGCTGCTCTGTACAGGTGGTGCTAGAGCCACGCGTGGCTGGCAGGATGTTCTCTACCCTCCCCTCCGGGGTCACCAGGCATTTGCACAGGCTGTGGGGCAGGCATGGTGCCTAGCCTGTGGTGGGGTGGCAGTGGGGGACACATGCAACTTGGTCTGTGGCCAGCACTGGTACCTTGCCCAACAGTGCCTGGAACTCCTGCATCAGAATGACCAAGTCCTGGTGCTCCTGCTCCACTGCACACTCCTGCTCCTGCAGCTGGACCAGTTGTTTGTGGTTTGTGCCTCTGCAGAAGTCCAGGTCCAGCTGCAATGCCTGTATCGTGGCTCGCACCTCAGCTGGGTCCAGATCTTCCTGCTGTGTGTGCTGGCATGCTCTGGCTTCCCCATGCTGTGGCTCCAGTGCCTGTGCTTGCCTTTGGACCTAGGACATGGCATGAGCAGCTTCTGTCCAGCTCACCACTGTAGCCAGCCCATCTTGTTGCTGCTGTCTGGGCAGGCACTGGGGCTGGAGAACGCTGGCAGTCCTGGTATTGTGCACTGCAGCAATGGCCGTGTTACCAACGGGTGGGTGCAGCCCTTCCCCACCAGGCAGCACTGCCCCATGTGTGTGCATGTTCTGACAGTTCCTTTGGGCTCACACATAGCCAAGCCCCTGACACCACTGGCCCTCCACACTGCCATGAACTGTGGCCACTGTGGGAAATGGTGGCAGTGGGACCAGTGCAGCCACAGCAGGACTGGATCCCCCGAGCTCTTGTGCTCTGCCCAGCCCTGGGGAAGAGGTGTCTGGTGGTGCAGGCAAGGGCTGGTCAGGGCTTCCTGTACCACCTGGCCACCAGTCTGTGGTTATGCAACCAGTGCCTGGGTGGAACATATGGTTGACACTGCTCACCTTGGCCTGCCAGGCCTCTGTCTCCTGCTGAAGCTGCTGGATGGAGCTGGTCAGCTCTGGTGTTGTTTCTTTTGCCCCTGGCAGATCTCTACAGGAGCCTTCAGGCTGATCCTGAGATGCAGGAACCTCCCTGGATGTGCCAAATTTTGGCCACTCTCTCATTGTTGGAAGGACCATAACCTTTCCTGCAGACCCAGACAACCCTTAGTCCCACGGATGTCACTCAGCCCTGCCTGGCAGCTCCCATGGTATTGGCACTGCCACTCCCTGTCTGAGGAGCACCTGCTGCCAGCAGGAGAAGCCTAGCCCTGGGCTCCTGGAAAAGCAGGGCGGAGCTCTGTGGGGCTGTGGCTCTCAGCAGCACCTGGTCCTACTGATGCCCACAGTCCTCACCATAGCCTTCCTGTGCCATACGCCTCATCTTGTGTTCCTGGCACGCTGTGTGACACTAGTCCATATGCCACTGTGAGGTCACCAGGTCCTGGGCATCATCCACAGAACTGCTCCAGGACATGGCAGCACCCCTGTGCCAGGGCAGGGCCTTGCCACCCTCATGCTGTCCTGCACTGTCCTCAGGCCATATCAGTCTGTGGCCAGTCCCAGAACACACTGCTGGGCTGTGGCCAGGGCCAGGTGACAGTGGGGATGGCAGTGCTCAGGGCTGTGCCCTGTGAACAGCCACCCACACAGGGACAGGGCTGGGGGGGCCTGCTGCAGGGCCACGGGCCACAGGCCCCTGGGGAGGCTGAGTGTGGACAGGAGAGGCTGAAGGGGCATGTCCGGTTGTCCCGCCTGCCTGGGGCCACCCCACAGTGCCCGGGTGATCGGATCAGTGACACGGGCCTCTGGGTGCCAGTGACGGTGTGAGCACAGACCTGCTGCTGGCCTGTGCTGGTGACATGGGACTCCCTGGGCTGTGTGTGCTCCCTTGCCAACGCTCAGTGCAGTTTCACAGGTAAGTGCTTTAACTGGAAATTTCCAAGGCTGAACTGGGCCCAGAAGGTGAACGCAGCTGTACCATAGCAGAAATCATCAGTTGCCATGGCAACCTGCTCCACCAGCGGGTCACAGTCACGGGTGATGGGAGCAGGCACAGACCAACAGTCCTGTGAGCAGGGCTGCTGAACCTCCTGCTTCCAGAACACAACTGAATTTGGCCACAGTTTCTGCCACTGTGAGGAAATAAAATTTCCCTGCAGCCTTCAGTCTTGTTCAGGCAGCAACAGCCAGGGCACAAAGCATCCACAGCGCACAGAACCTTTATGGGACAAAGCATGTATGCTGTGCTGTGCCATGTCACACGGTGCCACAGGCAGTGCTGCTCTGTACCACAGATGAGCCACAGCGTGCTGAGCTGCAGGCAGCACTTGCCTTGAAGCTCCTTGTGAGCGTGTGGGGCAGCCCCACAGCCCTGACCCACAGCTGCCTGCCCATACTCAGCTGGTGCTGGGAGGATGGGGGGGTCAAAATTGGCCCCTCTGCTGTGTGAGCACAGTCCTGGGGGTGGGAGTTGTCTCACTTTAATTACTGCCGTAATGCTACTCTTTTCAGTGCCACCTTAATTGAAATTAAACAGCTGCCATGTTCAGGCTGGGACAAAAGTGAATCCTTTTTCATTCCCCTCCAGTTTAATGAAGACTGACATGCTGGGAGAAAACAAAGGCAATCCAGCTGCTGCCTCTTGCTGGCACATGCATCAGCAATTACCGGTGACCCTGCGGGCTGGCAGAGACACCCCAGAGCACCCCGCAGTCATCAGCCCCAGGCAGCCCAGTCCTGTGTCTTGGAGAGCTCCTGCCCAAAAGGTCTGGCTGGGGGTGTGCAGGGAATGGGGTGCCCACAACATGGGGCATGCCAGCACGGGCATCTCAGTGTCCAGGTTCTGTATCCAGGCTTTCACTCCATCTGTTAAGAAGTGTCTGGCCACCAACCATGACCCAGCGCAGACCCTCAGCCCACCATGCTGCCAGGGTCCTGCCATCCCTGTGGGCTCAACCAGCTTCAGTCTCACGATGTTCAAAGTCACCAACTAGCCCATGCAGTGCCTCAGCCTCAAGCCAGGGCAGCAATGTCAGCCCAGGAGTCCTCTCCAGTCTTAAGGTTTTTTCTGTTTTAGCACCAGGAGTTTGCTTCATGCCATTCAGTACGTTAAAATATGCAAAATGAGGTGCTGCTGCAAACCTCATTAACATCCGCCTCCAACATCATTAAGATGTTTCCAAGAAAATTAATTGAGAGACTCATTAAAAATAAATTAAGAAAAATGTGTTGCAGAGCGCCTGCTCCAAGCTCGTAAATCACGGCTCAGAGCTCCAGGCCGCTGCACAGGCAATTAACGCCAGCCAATTTGTTTTATCCTGGCTGCGAAAATTAGAAAGCAGACATGGAGATTAGATTAGGCATGTCTGTCAAGCGGAACTTGGAGTGAATATTTTAGGATACAAAATGGAAATCAGAAAAACAAAGCTGGGCCTTCATTCAGGAGAGCTGGCGGGCAGAGTGGCTGGGGTGGAAGGAGGTTTGTGTGTTCTCTGTGCCAGGGCTGTGTGTCGATGACACCCATCTCATGGTCATGCCACCAGCAGCTCTGTCCTCCCCTGCACATTGCCCATCCTTGGTGGCTGCGCAGACGCCAATCACTCCTCCTGGGGAGCATGAGCTCACAGTGAGAGCGTTCTGAGCTGCTGTGTGTGACACAGCCCAAGCCAACACGTTGCCCGTATGTGCTGATTACACACTTGAATTAGGAAACACAGTGCAACTGGGTGAGACCACTGCTTGGGCCTCCATCAGCTTTAGGCTGTTAGTGCTCCTTTGTCCACCTCCAGTATCTTCCATCACAGGAGCTCAAGCCACTTGATATTCATGAAACAAACTGCAGGGCCCCTCTGCAAAACAAGTGCCGTGATCCCTGTTTCACACAGATGAGCCAAAGAAGAGATGACTTAAGGTCTTGTTTGTATTTACATGAATGCACAAGCAGCTCATGCAGCAGCTGCTGCACTGGCACATCCCAGTAGTGTGTGGGACACTGGTGGCCGCTCATGCAGCCAAACATCCAGCTGCGGTGGTGGCATGGCCCTTCGTGGAGTGGGAACCTGTGTGCTACCAGCACTCATGGTGCAGAGGGGCCATGGAGCTCTAGGAAAGGCTCCAGAAGGAGCCACTGTACAATTCAGGTGGTGTTCTGAGGGGTTTAGTGCAGAGCAAGGTGTAGTTTGGTCACCCATCAGAATGCAAGAGGAAAGTGGGAACAGAGCAGAAGGAGGCTCTTGTATCAGCAGGCAGAAGTGCACCCCGGTCTGATGTCTGTGAGATGACACAAACCAAACTGAAACTGGAGTTCAGCACACAGAGAAATGGTTACCCCTTGTCAGTGCAAGTTGGGCACGGTGGATGGGCCATCCATGGCCACTTGGAACCAAGTCTGGATGGCTCATTTCTAGCTCTGCCCCTTGGTCCTTGATCCCAAAGCAGACACTGATGCTGGTCCTTTGATGAGGTCTTCACTGCCCCGCTGGTGCCCTGAACCAAGATTCCCCATCTGCTCGTGTTGTTCCACCCCCTGCCATGGGCAGGGACACGTTCCACCTTCCAGGCTGCTCCAAGCCCCGTCCAGCCTGGCCTTGGACACTTCCAGGGATGCGGCAGCCACGGCTGCTCTGGGCACCTTGTAGCAGTGGTGGGCAGGGGTTGAGGGGGAGCTGAGGTGACCGGAGCGGGGATTGAGGTGACCGGAGGGGCTGAGGGGGAGCTGAGGTGACCGGAGCGGGGATTGAGGTGACCGGAGGGGCTGAGGGGGAGCTGAGGTGACCGGAGCGGGGCCGGGGGTGCCCCAGGGGCCCGCGGTGCCAGGGGGCTGCGGCGGAAGCCTCGCGCATGCGCGCCGACAAGCTCCGCTCTGTCCCGTTCCCGCCCGGCAGGGGTCGCTGTCGGCCCGCGCGGCGCTGCCCGTGAGGGCGGCTCCGCCCCGAGCACCCCCGGACACCCCTGGAGCATCCCCCGGCACTCCCCCCGGCCATCCCCCGAGCAACCTCTCCCGGGCGCCCCTCGAGCATCCCCGAGCACCGCCTGGGCACTCGCCGAGCGCCACCAAGCACCCCCCGGGCACGCCCCAAGCACACTCCAGCACCTTTGTTCTGCCGCCGTCCCGGTCGGGGCTGGGCGGGGGGCGCGGACCGCTGCCTGGGCCGGGGGTGCCCGGGCCGGCGTCGCCGAGCCGCGGTTCCCGGAGCGGGGTTGTCCCAGGGATGGGGGTGCCCGTGCCGGGGGAGCAGGTGCAGGGAGTGCCGGGCCGGGGGCTGCCCGGAGCAGGGGTGCCCGGTGGTGGGAGTGCCCGTGCCAGTCTGCCCGGTGCTCCCGCCGCAGCTCAGCCTCACCCCGGGGCAGGCAGAGGGCTGGCAGGGCTTGAACTGGGAATGGGATTCATGAACGGGAAAGCAGGATCAACCTCTCCATCCGTAGAATCTTAATAAGCCTTAAAGGTTATTTCTGAGCGGTTCCAGTGGCAATTCTTGGCCCTTCGTGTTGGCAGGGAGCCGTACCCCGGCCCGATCCCATCCGGTACTGCCGGGGCATGCTGCTGTGTCTGGGACGAGGAACAGCGACACAAATACAGGCAGTGTGGGCATAGTCCACTGGGAGCGATAGCAATCGGGACTTGCAGGGCTTTGCATTCTGCGGTGCGAATGATCTCATTATCCTTGTGAGGGTCTCAGCCAGCTACTTGAAAAATACTTATTAAAACCCACAGCAGCTCTAGGGAGAAGGAAGGGAGAGAGAACAAACTGGATGTGTAAAAACAGAAGGGGGAAACAGCCACAGTAGCAATAATGGGTCGGGACCTGCTCTGCCCTGCTGTCTTTCTAGTGGAAGCTGAAAGGCCATGACACATCCCAGAGTGCACATCAGTGTTTTGCCTCTGCTCTATTCCTCTAGCTGCCACATGTTCCTATGAAACCTCGTAGTGGGAGTGTTGGTGCATGAGGAGGCCTACCCATCCCAGTCACCCAGGAGCCAAACCTCTGACATTCCCGCTGGCCAAACACCGGGTCACCTGGCTCAGCCCCTTGTCCTGCCCTGGCAGCTCAGCCAGAACAGGCCACCCAGGGCTAGCCTGGTTGTGTTTAAACACTTCCCCCCAGGGTCGGAAGCGACCCCGCAGGTGTGCAGCGGTCCCTGGGGCTGCCTCCTGCCCGCCGCTGGTGCTGCTGTGTGCTCACACCATCACGGCACCATTTCCATGCTGCTTCTGCCAACTGCATCTCAGTTTTATGACTCTGTGGGTTAAGGCCATACACAAACTCTGTAGAGCTGCTGCGTGTTCCTCTAAAGAACCAAGAAATGGAAATCAGCAAGAAGTAGAAATTCTGCTGGAAAATTGAAGGAACAAATAAAAGGAAAGCAGTGCTGCTTGGGTCTGGTCACAGGACATGAGGCATTGATGGTTCTCGCAATTACAATCACTAAGTTGCTGGAAGAGGGATAGCACCCCTGGACAGCCACATCAGCAGTGCTGGGGCCTCCTTCTGAGCCAGCAGTGATGGCAGCACTGTGTGGGAGGTCAAGAAAAAGCAAGGGGGCTGAGGGGAGACAAAAAACAGAGGGAGCTGGGTAAATGAAAAAATACTCTGGTGGTGGGGAGCACGGGGAGAGCCTCCAAAGGGCAGGAGGTAATGGGGTACAGATATGAAGCAGACAGAGAGGGCCTTCCCTTCCCTTCCCTTCCCTTCCCTTCCCTTCCCTTCCCTTCCCTTCCCTTCCGAGGGAGCTGGGTAAATGAAAAAATACTCTGGTGGTGGGGAGCACGGGGAGAGCCTCCAAAGGGCAGGAGGTAATGGGGTACAGATATGAAGCAGACAGAGAGGGCCTTCCCTTCCCTTCCCTTCCCTTCCCTTCCCTTCCCTCTATGGTTAACCTTAAGTCTCTGGCCAAAAAGAAAGGAGTACTCTAAGACAAAGGATGAAACCCAAGGGAAACAGAGTTGAGACCATATTGCTGCTGCATAGAAGGCTTCATTAGCTTCATTAGCCCTGTTGGCATAGCAGTCATGAGAGAAGGAAAAAACCCAAAACAGTAGGAGTGATGTGAAAGGACTGACTGCCAGGGGAGGATGTCGTGCATTTGCCATCTCTGGATGTCTTCAAGCCCAGCCAAACGCCTTGTCTGAAGCTATCTTAGTCAGACAAGTTACTGATTTCAGAGTAACGGGGAGATTTTCCATGACTGTAGGTACCAGAGGTCAGGCAGCCCAATCCCTTCCTGCTCACCCGGGAATCTGCAGGAAGGAAATGCAAAGGATCACAAGAACATGATGCTATTTGTGCTCTTGGATAGGAGTTCACGCCAGCACTGATTCATCTGGCTACATCAGCATTCCACAGCATTACTCAGCCCCTCAGCTGGGCAAACACTCGGAGGGTAGATCTGTCTGGAGGAGGCCCGGTCTGCTGACCTTATATAATTTCTCCTTTTTTTCAGCTGTTTAGCAGCTGTCCCCAGTCTCCAAGGTATGACACAGCCAGGTGGTCCTAATCTTGCTGAAGATCTGGAGCATTTGCACCATCTTTCTCACAAGATCTCACTGCAGTCTCAGCTGCTGTAGCTCTGTTCCTCCTCAGGAATTAGGCTTGGGGCTGTGCTAGAATAAAATCGGATGAAGATGGAGTGATAGATCTGTGGAAATATTTGTTTGGTGCCCAGGAACAGCCCAAAAGGCAAACTGACTGTTAACAATTATCAGGAAAATAATGGAGAGCAGATCACAGTTCTGCCAATGAACAGATTCATAGTGAAAGCTGCACTGTGATTTCTATATGCAGCTCTGTCTGCCTCTCTCAAGAAAAAGATTTGGAAGTGTTTCAGAGAAGGCCAACAAGGATGATCAAATACAAAGAGTGTTTTCCATGTGAGTTAAAAGTGGATAGTCTTTTTAAGCTGGAAAAAAATAAAGTGAAGGAGATTATAGTACCAAGTTTAGCAAATAGAGGTTGCCTGCAGTATGATTTCTCATCATGCCTTCAATGTAAGAACTGGCAGCACCCCATAAATTATCAGGTAATAACAAAAAAGCAAAAATCAGATCTTTTTTTGAATGCTGTGCTGTGTCACACAGGGTGTCGTGCTCCCCCAAAGCTCATATGCATTCAAAAATAAATGAAACATTTTAATGGGAGAAAAATATCCACTCACATTGATGGAATGCAAGATCCCATTTCTGCTTCCGGAGCCTATGAGCTGTGGGTGGCTGAGGCTGGAGTGTTCCCGGAAGCACCGTGGGATATGTGGCCTCTATACCCCAGCATGGATGCACCAACCAGACTCCAGGAATCAATCACCAAATTGCACTGTCTTCTCCTGGAACAAGCTACCAGTGGACAAATAGAAAACAGGTTTTTTGTAGCTATACTGAAACGTCACAGTTGATTTTAAGCCTCTTAGACAGTATAATACTGACTGCAAGTTCCTGCTGAGGGCTATCGACTCCAGCCTGTGCCAAGCTGCAGGGAACACCCTGTGCCATGCCTGCGTGTGATGGAGCGTGTCTCTGCACCAACAGCGTGACTGACTCAGATCAGAAACCAGCTTCCTAGGATTTCCCACCAGCATCCTTTCAGACTGCCATCCAGCAGCAGAGATCTCTGCTTCCACGAGGTGACAGGCACCAGAAGACAGCATCATCCTCAAACCACACGGAGGGATTAGTGCAGGCTGGAAGCAGCCCCTCACTGCCCCCTGTCCAGGGTGGGACACACTGCCAGTGGGCTGTGGGGAAGGAGGGGGCTTGCACTGCAGAGGTGCCTTTCCCAGTTTGTGTGCTTGTAAGCAGACACCATGGCAAGCAAATTGCATGTTCTTGTAGTGTAATTCCTAATCTGTTTCTTTTGAAGCACCTGCTGTTGTGCTGCTGTGGTCTAAGGAATGTCTGCATGATGGAATGCAAGGCTATACCTTAAGTACTCCAAATTAATTGAGAGCAGTAGTGTTTCGTGCTGTGGGACCACATTGAGGCCACTGACTATTTACAGTCCTGTAGGTAAGAGCTGCAGGCAGCATGGATTGTGTGGGCAGGATGGGCAGGATGTACTGGTTGGCCAGTACAGGCCATGCAGACAGGACACCAGAGCAGCAGCTGACAAAGGTCAGCTGCGTGGTGCTTTTCTGTTATTACTTCAGGCAGCGTCTCTGCTTTGTCACACACTTCCTATTCTGAGACACACTGCTCTCAGCAGTGATTCAGCAGTCACAGATTCTCCATCTTTTATCAAGGTAATTCCCCATCACCATTATTTTTGCATACCTTCTACTGCAAGAAAGAAGAGGCCAATACTGAGCTGCAGTGAATGCTCAGCCAGCATAGTAACCAGCCAAATTTCATATTAGCACCATGGTTTAAATACCCAGCCTGCTTCTACATGGTGATCAAGAACACAGTGGAAGGGGCCCTTGCTCCAGTTGGGTAATGCTCCCCAATTTCTGGAGTTTGTAAGCACAATATCAAAATTACAAAGCACACTTTCCATTTCTTGCTATCATTTTGAATTAAAGATCTTCTATTGAAGACACTCACTTCAAAAATCAGCCAGGCTCTTTCTAATATCAAGCAAAATGCCTGAAGAATAAATTGCTTCTATCAGAAATAAAGCATTTTAGTTCTGCCAGAAGCAGAGAGATCTGTGTTTGTAAGTCCCTCCAAAGGCAACTCCATCTTTCCTGTTTTCCTCTCATTTTCTTTTGATGCACAAAGCCTGCACATTGCAGTGCTGTGATTGGATTCAGCTTTGGAGCAGTGTAATTGTAAATATTCATTGGAATCCAAGCTAGTTTTCCCAAGTCTCTCTTAAAAGCTTTGCAGTTATACAAACAGCCATGGCTCTGCATTAGCCTCACAGCCTGGAGGCTGCCTACTCCTCCTCAGCCCCAAAGTCTGCTCCGTCAGAGGCTGCATGGAGAGAAATCAGCCTTGCCAACCATTTTAATCAATGCACTGTTATTTTTTTATTCCCTCTTCAATGACTGTGCTGTAGAGCTGGCTCTCAGATACAGGTAGTCAGTGGGGCTCCTCACTGGTGTCTACACAAATAACATGGCTCACCTTGGCTCACAGTTGCCCTGACTGTCCTGGACACATATTTATGTCCCTGTCTCCCTGCTGATGTTGTCAGGGTGTCTGTGAAGGGCTCTGAGTCCTGGCATATGGTGTACAGTACATGGTGCATGGTACAGGGTATTATTATGCCTGTGACCATTCCTCCCTCCTCTGTGAACGCTCCGTGGCTGCTCTTGTACAATGGGGCAAGGCAAAGGGCAGCAGGCTCCTACAGCCCCTGAGGAGCTGAGGCAAACTCTGTCCATCAGCCAGATCCTGCCCTTGCCTGTGCCAGCCCTGCACAGCCAAACTGCATGCTCCAAGCGGATCATGCTCTCCAGGTGGTCTCACTGCAGCCATGTTCTGTACAACTCATTTGCAGAGCAGCACATGTAAGAAGCTGCGCACAGCTATTCTGCTGAGAAGGGAAATTGAATCCAAAAGTTCTGATAGCATATCTACACTCCTATCTCTGCCTCATCCATTCATGTGTTCCCCACCATGGGTGGGACTCTGGCCAAAGCCTGTGGCACAGCAACACATGCAATGCAGATGGTGGTATTGGAGCCTTCATCACCAAATCCCCGGCCTCTGTTTGCTCCTTTCAGCATGTGTTACAGCCTCCTGGGGAACCTGGGACCAGACAGGTCGGCAGTACAAGGGGGAACACTGAAGGAGACTGCAGTGGGGCTCTGGGAAAGGCAGAGCTGCATTACAAGGTAGGAGCAGGGATAGATTTAGGAAATGAGCAATGCTGATGCGAACATCAGGAAACTGATAGTCTGTCTTCCAGTTCTGAGGCAGGGGAACCTAGAAGTATCCTGTGTATTGTGTATCTGTCCTTGAAGTTCTCCTGTGATGCAGGATCCTTGGGCCCTGGCAGTCTGCTTACTTGCTCTGTTCTCCTTCCCTTTAGAAAACTGTTTCTAACCCAAATGTTTCCTGATGGAGGCTCTGGCCAGTAATTCTTGAGTGCTCCTTCAAGGACATGGAGAGCAGATGGCTTTTTTTCCATTTTCCAGGAGTTTCTTACATACAGCTGGTGTTGTGATCTCCCTCAGTCATACAGAAGTAAAAACCAAAAATCCAAACCTCAACAAAGTAGTCAGATGAGAAATCACAAAAAAAATCACCCTGTCTAGTAGAAGTCCCTGCCACACAGAGCAGTAGCTATGAGAGCAGATGCCCTGTGAAAGCAGATGAAGTAATGAGGCCTTTATAAAGATAACAGGTTCTAATGTTAAAACAGCTCATGGAGAGAAATTTCCTGCTCCTGTAGATCCATATCTCCTGGCAGCAGCCACCAAAGTGTTCTCTTCATCTCTTTTCCCAGCTCAAGGCCAGCTGCCTTCAGAATGTGGTGAAGGAGACATCCCTGGGGAAAATCCAGCCCCCAGCTGAAGGGAAAGAATGTGGGAAACCACATGGTCATGAAGAAGGGCTGGACATTGAAACATGCCTGATGACAGGAGCAGTGGGAACCTGTCCCTGGGGTCCTGTGGGAATTCATCCTCTCTTCTCCAGATACAACATTCACCTTTTCCCACCTGTGGTGTGACGCTGTGACCCCTCAGCAGCTGCCAGGGGAGGGGGTGTACCAGTGAGCACACAGCCTGGAGCCCCATGGGCGTCTCTGGTGTAAGAACACACTGGTCCTTTTGCTGCATAGCCCTGGTGGAGAGGAGTCTCCACGGCATGAGCTGGAAGCACAGTCCTTCCCTTCCAACTCCATTTTGCAAAACAGCCAGAGCACTGTTCTTCACTACTCCTGCTTGGATGATTTATCCAGGTCACAGTGAGGACAACTGGCTAACTGAGGTTAACAGCTTTCTCAGTTTCATTTCAAAAAGACATTAGCATGGGGGCTGTATTAAACGATGGTACGCCGAATCTTAATTCATTCACTAGGAGAGCTCATGATCAGGTGGGGGACTAAGCTGACAAGCAGGGCTGTGCTGCCAGTCTTTCTATAAAGGGCAGGACCATAACTCATGCTCCCAGTGCTAAATTACACGTGGCACTCCTTGCACAGAAATCCTGCTGCCTGCTGCAGGGACCCAGGACCACCAGCTGTGGGAGGTCCAGGGCCCCACAACAGAAAATATATCAGCAGCTGGGACTGGCTCAGAAAAATAGATCAGAGTCCTTCTATCTAGAAGAAGGATGTTGGGAAGAAAATATGACAAAGATCTATAAAGTCAGAAGTGTCATAGGAAGGTGATTAAGGAGTGACTGTTGTGGCCTTTTCCAAGAAAACAGTGGAATTTGTCAGGGGACAGGCTCAAAACAAGCCAAAGGAGGTGGCTTCTTATCCAAGCATGGTCAAACAGGGGAACGCACTGCTACAGGACTTTGCAGAAGCTGGATAAGATCTGAGTTACAGAATTAGTTTGACAAGTTATTCTTCAAGGGCTGTTAAACACAAAGACTCCCCCTTGGGCTCAGGAAGCCCCTTCACCACAGAAGGTGTGTAACACTGTTCTGCCACTGAATAGTGTTATATTTTTATATAACAAGGCTTGATGTTTAATTGGGAGGTTTGTAAGGGGAAATTGAGAGCTAGGCTGTTTTATTTGCCACTTTCACACTGAAACCAACAGCAAGGCTCAGCTGAATTTGGTATCAATGGGTGGAGAGATGGAAGGGAAGGGAAGGGAAGGGAAGGGAAGGGAAGGGAAGGGAAGGGAAGTTGGAAGAAGCAGTGTCATTCCCACTCTGCCATGCTGTCCTTGCACAAATCAACACACAATCATCCATATGCAAATGCAGAACAAAACAAAGGCACATGCCGACCCTCTTCCACATTCATCCATCTGCCACCATCCACAAACACAGACAAAGGCACACACATCCTGCTCCCACCTTCACTGTGGGCAGTTGGAATGCGGGATTGCCATGCACAGCTCAGCCCACATGCTGGGCTGACTCCTCACACACAGAACAATGGACAATGTGGGAGTAAATAGAACAGCATCTTGTAACTTTCCTTCAAATGCAATAAATGAAATCAGTGCATTGTGTTCATATATATTGCAATGTATGTATCACTAGATGTATGAACATATTCATATGAATATATTTATCATCACCACATCAAATGAAACAAAATGTCTCCACTTTGACTAATAAGGGGGACACCCCCCCAACCCTATTTTAAATGCTGTCCTCTGAGCTGCTGCTTAGACAAACCAGCAGTGCTGAGCATCCAATATGCTGGTACCTGGTGCCCCATTGTCATAAGTACCTGATTTATTCTACCAGAACCCCAAGCATATTTCACTAGCAAGTTGTTAAAATAGACACATTTTTTGAATGGCTTGTGTGGTGCTGAAGGGGATGACAAGTGGATTCCAGGTTCAGCAAGTAATGCTGCAGTGTGCAGCAGCAGGAGTTCCCCAGGTTTCCAGGATCAGCACTCCTCACCCCTGTTTGCCATGTGGATCCGAAGGAGACCTTGTGGCTGGAGTCCACTGAGGAATGCTGGTGCCTGAGCAGACATCAGGCAGACAGCCTGATGGCTGCGGAGGTGGGAGCAAGGTGCTTTCCCAAGCCAGGCTCACACACGGGGGAGCACACTGAGCAAAGAGTCTGACTTCTACAGCTTCTGAAATACGGGGCTCGGGGCTCGGTACTGGGGCAGGGGCCAGCAGACCCAGCATGGGGTAGACCAGCATGGGCTGCCCAGCAGGCCTGCAGCAGGAACAAGGCTGCTCCCACCCTGATGTCCAGGAGCAAGCTGAGGGTTTTGTCCACAGCAGCCTGGCTGAACAGCTCTGAGCAATCCTAATCTCCTGGCTCACAGCATGTAAATGTCACCACTAGCCAGGACAGCTCTGCCCTGGGGCAGTGTTTTTGTAGCCATCCTCTTCTTGTCTCTCCAAGGTCAGCAGCAGAGCAACACCCACAACATCTGTGCATGACAGCCATCACACCCCCACAGCAACTGCAATCCCACCACCCATTCACAGCCAGCAGAGCTGTAGCCATCTCCCTGCTGCCTCCCATCTTCCCCTCCTCACTGGGAGGTGACAGACTCTACTCTCACATCTTCAGCCCTTCCTTATACTGCCATGTAAACAAGAGCAGAAGATTATTATTATTATTGCTGTGAATGCATCAAATAGAGAGTTCCCTTCTCATCCTGGGCTGCTGAGCTAGAGTGGACTGGTATCTTCTCCTACCTGTTCCAAGCTCCCTTCCGTAGCTGGTGGCTGGCCCCCAGGTCCTGGCTGAGCTGCTGCTCTGGCTGCATTTCTGCTCCAGGTCTGCCTGCCTCTCCCTCTGCTTGGTCTGCAGTTGATAGATCCTCTGCTCTTGAGCATCCAGCTATTGACCCGCCCAGGGAAAGAAAGAAAAAATGGAAAAAAAAATCAATTAATACTAAACGGCTTAACAAAACCCCGAACAGCACAGACCTGATGCTGCTGGGGGTGGGGATTGGCAGGAGGAGACACCCCCCACACATTAGCTGCAAAAATCTGATGTTCTGGGGACAGGAAGCCAATATGGTAGGTGTGATTTGACATGCTTGCCCACAGCAGGCAGACATGTCCAGCTCGGGAAAGCAGAAGCCCTGCTGATTGGGGCACCTGTCTCTGCACACAGAAGGGGTGTCAGACTCCTGCAGTGAGGGAAGCAAAGAGCAGCTGAGCAAGATCAAAATTATTCTAACCAGTAACCAAACACCCAGCTCCTGTTGCAGCTGTGTATTGAGCTCTTCAGGCATTTTCCCTGGGTCTGCTGTCCTCAGAGCAGAGCAGAAGGGGCTCAGGCACCCCACAGCCTGTCATCTGCCTGAACAGAAGCAGCTCTATGGGTTCACCATATTCACTCCTTGGTGTCCCAGCTCTAAGCTGCTTGCACAAGGCAGAAGCAGGGAAGAATCATAATTGTCAACCAAGGATCATTCGCATGACAAGACTCAAGTACTCAGAGCCACTCTCCTCGCTACCTTGGCCATTTACTCCTCATGGATGCTGCTCATCTTCTTGTGATGGGCAAGAGAAGTCACAGGCAGCAGGCACTGTATGGTTCCTGCCCTGCTAAGGATGGGGAGACAAGAGAAAATGCTGCCCACGCAGCTTAGGAGTTGGTCTGCTTGGTGGTTTAAATTCAGCATAAGAACTCCTCTACATTGCTCTGCCATAACCAAGGGTCCTGCAAGCAGGTGAGAACAGCGTCCTTATTCTGCTGCTCAGATATACCCAGAAGTAGCCCTGTGTCCTGGAGAAAGGGGTCTCCAGAGCTTTTTGCAAGCATTGCCTGGCCACTACCACCTTGGCTCAAGTTGGCAGCCCTCCTGCCCTCAGGCAGGCCCTGCTGCATGGGGGGTTCTCCCAATGTTTCCCAGAGGCTTCTCCCTCTGGGCATGTGTCCATTTGTCCTTCCAGCACTGCCCTTGGACCCCCTGGGCCCACTTATGCTCCACACTGCTGCCAGGAACAGCTGAGTGCTGCCAGCAACACCACCAACATCCAGCAACACTGGCAGCAACAGAGGGGCCTCATCAATGTTCACTGACTTGCTAAACCTACAGAGGATTTCGATATTAATTAATGTTAACTGATTAGTAAAACATATTTATTGAAGACTGTCACCCTGATGTCAACTTTCAATAAATATACTAATAATCAATTTGCATGTAATGAACACAAAATCATGTTAATGTCTACATTAAAGATGTATTTCAGCACACACAGGCAGAGCCCACCAGTGCCAGGTCCTGGTTTCCACTGACTGGGGGACTGAGTAGTGTGCCAGGTCACAGAGGGGCACTGGGAGGTCCTTGGTAAAAGGGTGAGTGTCCACCAGCAGCAGCAGACCGGATAGATTCCAAAACCATAGGCTCACAAAGCTTTGTCAACAGGGACAATGAGAGATACCTTAGAGATGGAGGGGAGCTGATGTCTCCCCTCATCATCCCCCTCCCCCAGCTGCCAGGCAGGTGAGTGTGTCTGGCGGGCAGGGTGATTCTAGGATTTTCAGTGCAATGAAGCTCCCTGCCAGCTCTCGGGCACCAGGAGTGCCTGTGACAAAAGGCCATGTCACATGGCTCCATGGAGCAGCCTCTGCCTGTGGGTCTGAGGTGGCCAAGGGGTGCATCCTGCCCGAAGCAGCACTGCCTGCCCTAGCTTCCCTCCTTCCCATGCCATTCAGACAAGCCCACCTTTCTTCTGTCCCAGTGCAGCCCCACGCAGCGATGTGCTTGCAGCAGGAAAGAAGGTGGCATGTTTAGGGTGAGCATCCCCCACCCCCACCCCTTCTCCTCTCATTTAAGTGGAATCAATTGTGCCATTTCTGCTTTGCTTTTCAAAAGCAATTACTTTCATGTCATTTTTACAGACATGCACGGAGAGCGAGAGAGTGAGGGCTTGATTATGCCCCCTCCCATCCCCATCGTATGGCTTCCGCAGTGGTGGTGAAGTATTAAATTAAATGAGGTATCTATGGAGCGGCGATGGTTTCAGGTCAGAGGCGCTATGGAAAGCTGTATGCTGCACTGCTCCTGTATATGTAAATGGATATATTAAAACCACTGATGTCAACTTGCAGCACTCATCTCTTCTGCTCTCGGGTGATCAAAGCTGATTGCAGAGGCAATTACTGCGAAGGAAAAGAAAATCACGGCCTCCTGCTCATCCCTGAGCTACTGGAGTTTAATTGCTTAGTGTAGCTGAAGCTGCCTCTCCATCTCCCTGGTATGCACACACACATGGGGGAGCATCTCACGCCTAGAGACAGACAGGAATGGGCATTTTTGGGGATGGGTGGGGAGAAGCACCCGAAGCAGGGGAAGACCACAACATGAAAAATAATGATGCTTAAAAATGAATTAGACCACTACAGCAGTCAGGGCTGTATCTTAGCAAGCCACTGGATCGATAGCACAGGGAAACAGGGCAGCATAAATACATGCCTGTGAGACAGCCTCTCCTGTTCTGTGGTGTCTGGTCCAGGATTTACAGTAAGGCTGCTTCAGTCTTTTACAGGATGTGGCTAATCAGACTCCCAAATTCTGGTGACACAAGTAAGAATCATGACTCCTGTTTTACACCTGAAATCACTTGAAGGGAAAGTGTCGGTGCTGTCCTGAGGAGTCCCAGCTCCTCACCCTGGTCAAACCTTTGTGTTTCACGTGGGATTCTGCAGGTGCACCATGAAGGCAGAGGACACTTTTTAGGCAGGGAACACTGTAATGCAAACACAACACCTGGCTAAGTTGCCATCAGCCCTGCGCCACACACCTGCCCAGGTTGCCCATCTGTACCACTGAGGCACCTCAGTGCTGGTCAGGCTTTGGCTGTGGGGCCTGGCCTGTTCTGAAGCAGGGCTCAGCATGTGCTCTTTGTACGTACACCTGTACCTGGCCTGAAGCAGGGCTGAGCAAAGTGTAAGGCATCAGATCTGCCACTAACATGTAACAAGGAAGCAGAGGGGCAGTAAGAAGGTGGGGAGGGGGGCAAAAAAAAGACCTGCCTTCCCACCTGAAGGAAGACACAGTCACCCCTGTGCACTGCAGGGGTGTTGGCACCACACTCACTCAAGGCAGCAGAGGCCCCAAGGATGTACTGTCTGCTGTAACCCAATTCTCTCTGATGGCTGCGCCTCTCCTCCCAGCCTTGGCCAGGACGAGCACTCCTGTGAAACCATCCTCACCTAACACCTGGGGAATAGGACAGATCCAGAGAAATCCAGGTGCTGCAGTGCATAGCCAGAGCAGCCACCAGCAGCAATTCCCTCAAAAGCAGAGGAACAAAAATGCCTAATGGTGAGAACAGTTCTACCATCCCACAGCCACATTTGGGAACAATAAGTCTGGCCCCAACAGAAAGTGTTTACAAAATTATAAGTGCTAAGTTACTTCTTCTGAATTTTTGACCCTTGAGGGTTTTGCTTTTGTGGTTTTCTCCTGAAGCACTGGAAAGTAAAGGATAGGGGATTTTTTTTTTTAATTGCAACCAAAGCCTGAGATTCTGTTCTTCCTGCTTCATTTTACAACAGAAGCTTCAAAAATCAACAGAAAATGAGGAAACCCAGAAATGAGCCTTGTGATCTGCTCTGGCTGCAGGAGTGCCAGAAGCTCTCAGCAGTGCTGCCTGGCCTCTGCCCATGGGTGGGCTCTGCCACGCAGCCTCCTCCCTGCCCTGTGAATCCAGATTTTCAACTCAAGGGTGCAATTCCTTTTTTATGAGCTGCCTGTCTCTTTTTGTTTAGCTAAGAGTGCTTGGAGCCCTTCCCCCACCTCCTTTTCCACTGCTGCTCTGGTTTTATTCAATTCAACACTTGAGGGAACTGCAGATGAAATGTCTCTGAATCTAAATTGCCAGCGATAGATCTAACAGCCTTTTTCCCTCTCCCCTCCCCGAGCTCCCCTCAGACAGAAAGCTCCAGCACATTGTCTCCAGCTGCAGAACGGCAGCAGCAGGATGGGAACACGGCAGGGAGGGCAGGGGGTGCACAGCCCTCTCCTGCAGGCAGGTGAAGGGGCTGGGGAGCCCCTCGCTGCTGGCACTGCCAGGCTTGGTGTGGGTCGTGATGCTGGCTGGCCAAATGCTGTAGGAAAGGCTAGGAAAGGCTAAACTATCTTTCCATAGGAAAAACCCTTGACCTTAGAGCATAGAAAAGTAGTCAAAAGGAAAAATAAGACAAGAGAAAGGAGGAATTAAAGCTGGGAGACACAGAGGAATTAGGAGCTCAAAGGAGTCTGTACATGGGGAAGAGGCTCTTGAGCAGTCCTGTAGAGCAGTTCCCTCCACAGAGCTGGGATTCATGGCATTATCTTCATGCTGGGGAAATTAAATTATTGTCCTTTGGCTGCAGAAAAAAATAATAAAATATTGTCAAAATATTACTGAAACAATAAATATTTTTTTTCTGAGTTTGGAGACAGAGCATGAAGCTTTAAGTGTAATGAGAAATTAAATACTTCACTGGACTCTAAAGCCTGGTAATACTGAATCCTAAAGACAACAGCTTAAAAATATCCACTTGGCAATGTAAATATTAGTCTATGAAAAAGACCAGTTAGTGTGTTAATCCACAACTGTAAATGGTGCCCATTTCCACTCAGAAAATAAAAACCACAACTGACCTCTGTCTTGCTCCCATAGTCCTTCATACACAGGTGGTATGGAAAATTCCCTCCCAATGGAAGGAGATGTTGAGAACAAAACAAAGAAATGGAGTATAAAAATAAACATACCAAGAAGCATCATGCTGACTGCACTATAGATTTTCGTACTACATTAAAAGAAAATCTGCCTTTGGGTGTCTGTTAGGAGAACAGAATCCTGCTGTAGAATCTGTGGCCTGTGCAGGGTCTGGAA